CAGTTCAGTTTAAAGCCCCCACACAGTTCAGTTTAAAGCCACATTAAAAGAGACATTCTTTTTCTCTCAGACTGGGAAAAATGCCTCTTCTGAGATGCCTGTTATAACACAAATGTGTGCCATGTAAACAAAGAAATAGTGGTTTTACACATATGCAGATTGAAGCAAATATAAATGACCAATTTAAATTCATTGTTAATTAATTAATGTGTATTTAAGTGGCTTGAAGTTCTAGTTTCGACATGCTGTTTTAAACAATATTTTGCCTTTTCTTATTTTTAAAAATTGTTCCTTAGTGAATAATTGTTCCTTATCTGTTTGTTAAGAGGGTCTCAGGGTTCAGATCTGCTCAGAACAAGAAACATGGGGCCTCCTCAGAGGAGGTGCAAAGTCCTCCACCCCAACCCCTCCTGCCCTGCTAGAGACCCTGTGGGTCCATCAGTTCCAGCCATCCCTTCCACAACAGCAGAGATCTCAGTGCTATTTCCTGGGCTCTTGGAAGTCTCTCATGTCATCCTCAGGGCCAAAAGAATGAAGAGACCCCAAGGTAATCAGGAACTTCAGGAATACCAGTGAAGCACCTGGTTAGATGTACTGTATACGAATCTATTGGGAGTTTGGGGGACAGATGTAAACATATCCCCAGACCAGAGCTTGGTGGACAAGCAAGAATAGACAGAGGCTCCAGATTCTCATTCTAAGCCAGGAATAAGTAAACTCTGTGGCCAGGGATCAGCTTGTTGTTCCAACTTATGGTGACCCTAAGGGAACCCTGTCATGGGGTTTTCTTGGCAAGATTTTGCAGCAGGGGTTTGCTATTGCCAGTGGTGTTTGTGAGCTGGGAATCGAACCCTGGTTACCAGAGTCATAGTCCAATACTGAAAGCATTAAGCTTCATAAACCAAGAAGTCATTTTTAAAAAAAGCGTTGATGGGGGAATAGAATTTCTGCTAGAATAAGTTATTGGGGGACACATTTTACTTTAAAGGTTTCCAGGAGCAGCAATAGTTATTTTTTAAACTGATTCTCGGAGAGGCCCAAGATCCTCTAGAAAAGCCTTGCAGGATTCATCTTGCCCATAGATAGCCCTCACAATTCCCAGCCCTGCTCTAAGCTTTGCCATAGAACCACTCATTACTGGTTGAGGATGGTGAGAATTTCAGTTCAGCAACAACTGGAAGGTTGTATAATTTGCATCCCTAATTTACACTAATGAGTGGTAATCTTTTTGGTGGTCCATAGCTGAATTCACTTACAACAGAAAGAGGAACTCCAACTGGGTGGGAGCTATTTCCCCCCCTGCAAATATTCCAGGGTGGGGAGCAGCTGGTTTCTTTTAGTTTTCAGCTGAAGTTTTGGTTTAGAAGCTATGTGGGTAGTCTGGGGGTAAAATCACTGGATTTTGCAGCAGTTTGAGCCCTCCTTTTTTGCTGTTCTGGAGTGAAAAATTGTACATAAATATTAAAACAATTTTTTTGTGTGTGTGGCTGGGTTTGTGGGGATAAGGGCTTCAGAAGTTGCAAAATAGGTCTCTGGGTGCTACATATGGCTTGCCTGTCACACTTTCCTGACTTACAACAATGGATCTATTCCTTTATCCATAAGAAGCCTTTTTAATGTAAATTATGCCTTCCACTCTCACTGTTCCCCCTTTTCTTGATCTGCAGTTCCCACATCAGGCATCATACTCTAAAAAACATCCAAGGCCAGTTACATCAAGTGAAGAAAGTGTAGAAGTACCCAGTAGTTTGCAAGCAAGAGATGCCAACCAAAGATTCTTGGGGCTCATTTCCACTATGATTTGCTGATCACTTTAAATGTGCCTTATCCCCATTTGAAACGGTTTCAGATCATTTGTGACTGCGATCATTTGGACTTGCTTTGAAGTGAGACAAATGCAAAAAACTCCACTCTTTTCAGACACTAGTTTTTTTGCTGGTCCATTTGAGAGGAAGCGACTAGCAAGCGTGTTCAACAAGTGGGAATGACAGATTTGATTCGCATCAAACTGAAGGGGAGGGACTACTGTGGCACAGGGTTGGCACATCCCTTACCAGTTTTTGGGGAAGTCCACCATTTCCCTCCTCTCAGCGCTGCCTGTGCTTTATGGTGTGGACCTATATATGCAGTATATGTGCTCATTGTAGTTGTAATTACTTGTGGGTCAAGACAAGTATTTGCAAAAACAATGGAATGCATATACTGACAATTTTTTAAAAAATTGCATGCATCCTGGGGGAAGAGTCCTCCATGACACCCATGGATCCATACATCTCAGAGGAAAGTCCTCCATGACATCCATAGATGTATGCATCCCGGGGGGGAGTCCTCCATGACACCCATGGATGCATGCATCCCAGAGGAGAATTCTGGTCACGGCACCCATGACTCCCTCCCGTGTTTTCTTGAATGTGTTGCTGCTTGCATCACCGATGATGCATAGACGATTGACTGGCATTTTGAAGCAGCACAAATTAGTGGGAATGACAATTGTGCCAAAAAATAAGCGAATAAAGAAAAGACTCACTTCCATAGTGGGAATGACGCATCAACTAGAATTGATTCACTGACCTAGAGCAAAAGCAAATCACAAACCGGGTTAAATGTAAGTGGGTTTGAGCCCTTGGTTAGTTTGGATAGCTGAGAGATTGTATTTAACTGATGGCCCACTATCTCTGTAATGCATGTTCTTCTTGCATCTTCCCTTTTACATTCAGGAATTTATCAGCCCCATAACCTCCCAAATGGAACTGCCCTAATTGTCAACTGTCTAGTATCTATTCTATTTTCCATCCATGCCTTTGGACACCTGTGATCCCACCTCACTCATGCCTGGGCTCACAATCTCCTTCATCATGCTAGATGTCAGTGGCAAGGCTGAGTATTAAGTGAACTAATTCCTTGACTGTCACATGGTCATAATGGCTAGCTCATATACCTCACAGACTGGCTGTAGCCCAAAGGATTTATTACAGCAGTCTGATGCCCATGCACACTTTCTTCCAATTCATCCGCAACAATCAGCAGAAGCCAGGCCAGGCCCAACCATTATTGTGCATTACTGCACCCTTGGGGATGAGAATGGGGTCAGGATCCAGCCCTGTTCTGCAACAGGTTGACCATGAGGGTTAGGGAGCTCAACAGATCTGTGCTCAAATGCAAAGCCTTCTTGAACTGGGAAAATGATCAGAGGACAGGAAAGAAAATCTCTTTGCCTGTAACCTGGCTTAGCAAACAGCTGTCAAGAGGCAAAATTGTGGCAGTGATGGAATTAACAACTATGCTAACTGCTCAGGGGAGAAAATTATGTTTTGGGAGTAGACAATTTTCCAGGGTCAGAGAGCCATATTGGATCTCCTCAACCTACCAAAATTTGGTGGACACCGTGACATATTCCTGTCACCATTGCAATTGTTCCAGAAATATGGCAGCAATGCCTGTAGCTGTCTGTGTTTCAGGTGGGTAACAGAGTGCTCACTTGCACCATACAGACACTGCAGAGCCCAAAGTATAAAGCATTTATTTGCACCAAATTTTTGTGGTGCTCTCCTGTTGTCAGCACTAGTATGATCATAAATGGGATCAGCAAGACCCGTGTCCAGGATGTATGTGTATATAGCTCCTGTGTTCCTCCCCCCTGTTCTAACAACTAAGTTGAGCCCAAAGACAGCATTCTTTATAGAAGGTGCAGCCACTTAAACCTTCTTTCCTGTTGTCTTACAAATTCTTACTTTGCAATCACTTCAGAGAAAGAAGGGAAATAATGTGTGTTTCCAGTAAATAAATAAAATTAGCAAGAGACAATGCTCAGCAGGGACATAATAGAGGTGGAACTATTGATTTCATATCAGTACTGTCTAATTATTTCACTATACTTGCTGGAGTATATCAGAGTGGTTAGAAGGACCTCTTACATGACACAACCTCTAATCATCACAGCAGCAATTACACCACTAAACAATTCAGCAGCATATGACTGACTGTGAAACATTGCATTCTTCTCTATAAAGCACTGCCTGCCTTTTATCAATGGTGGATCTGCAAACTTGTCTGCATTTTTCAGATGAGCAAACATGATATGACAAGAAGGATTTGTTTTCCTCCAAAGGTCTGCATTATGCTTATCAAAATTAATAGGAGGCTTTAAAGCAAGCCCACTTCTTAATGCTGTTTCTAGGTTATATTTCTAATTTTCTTAGCAGTAGCCTCATTATTACATGTCATTCTTGTTAACATAGTGCATTGCCTGATCTGAGCTGTGAGTCTTAATGTTTCATCCATTATGTGGCTAATTTTAACAATGACAGAATGGTTTCAGTGTGTTTCATGGTCTGTATCCACAGGCTTTTCATTATTAACTTGAGACTGTCTAGATCAGAAACAAGACTGCCTTGACTCTGTTCTGCTGGCATCAGGCACAGATATACTACAAAATTATCTTGTCCCAGCTCTATTGAAATAAATGTGGCACTCCTACTAATCTCAGTGCAGAATACTTCAGAGTAGATTCTACCATGTGACAGATGCATCCTTTTTAAAATTCCTAAACGTTACCCACTACTACAGAAAAAGGCTGTTCAGTGACAATATATTTTAAGTGTGTGTGTGTGTGTGTGTGTGTGTGTGTGAGAGAGAGAGAGAGAGAGAGAGAGAGAGGGAGGAAGGGGCACTTTCCTAACAAACTGTTACTTTATATGTAATGGTTTCTAAGAACTTGTCCCTCCTTCTCCCCCATTAGGTCTCAACCCAGGGATAGGGAACAGGGATTCTGAGATGCAGTCATGTTTTGACAGACCTATTGGGCAAAACCCGTTTTTTGTTTTTTTTTAATAGATGAGAACTAACACTGGAGATGAAAGCCAGTGTGGCGTAGTAGTTTGAGTATTGCACTATGACTCTGGAAACCAGGGTTCAATTCCCAGCTCAGCCATAAGTTCCCTGGGTGACCTTGGGCAAGTCATACACTCTCAGCCTCAGGGGAAGGGAATGGCAAACCTCATCTGAACAAATCTTGCCAAGGAATCCCCATGATAGGTTCACTTTAGGATTGCCATAAGTTGGAAACAACTTAAAGGAATACAACAACATTGGAGATAGATAATTTTTCACAATATGAGAGTTGAGTGGATAGTGTCATTATATAGTGTAGCCACTAGGAAGCACTATCTGTGGTTATATCTGTGAGGAATCAGGTGCTCTTTGGATAAGTTCTGGTTTTATTTGTTCCTGGCTAGCTTGTGCATTGATGAGTCTTGTCAGATTTCCATGAATATATCTGTAGGGGTTATGCCAGAGGGCATGAATAAGGCTGGTTTATAGTATTTTGTTGCCTGTTTCTGCCAGCGTCATCATATGCTATATATCATACATGGAAATTTAGGAGACAGGTTACAGTTGTGCTACAATCAGAAAGCAGGCAATAACCTATATGCAAAGAACATAACTTCTGAGAAACTGAGATGGATCCCATCAGGCAGACAGATGTTAGAGCTGTAGTCTAGAAGGTACAGTCTTGTTCTTCCCTCCACATGTAAGTTCTGGGTGTTTATGGAACAACAACAAAGCAAATAACTCAATGAACTGAGCCAAGCCTTAAACCACTGATCCAAATCACACATATGGTCAAAGAAGAAAGCAATTGGAAATTATTTATCCATCTTATAGATTGATAACAATATCCTCATTTACAAGAGACAGCATGAAGACATGTATGTCATACATACATCATTGTCATACATACATGTAGGACAGAAACATGTAAAAAAATTAATAGTAAGACACAAAACATGAAACATGTAAATGGCATTCCTCTTCTTTCAATTACCATAGAATCTTAGAGTTGGAAGAGACTGCAAGGGCCATCCAATCCAACCTGCTAGCCTGCAGGAATACACAACTAAACCACTCCTGAAAGATGTCCACTCAGCCTTTGTTTAAAGACCTCCAAAGATGGAGAGACCACTGCCCTCTGAGGCAATCTATTCCACTGTTGAACAATTCTTACAGTAAAACAAACTTCTTCCTAAACTTTAGGCAGATCCTCTTTTCTTGTAATTTGAATTCATTGGTTCATGTTCTAATTTCTGGAGAAGCAGAAGACAAACTGGCTCCATCTTCTACATGACATTCCTTCAGATATTAAAAGATACCTGTCCTGTCACCTCTCAGTCTTCTCTTCTCCAAATAAAATGTATCCAGTTTCCTAAGTTGTTCCCAATAAAGCCTGTTTTTCATACCTTTGATCATCTTGGTCACCTTTCTCTGGATATGTGCCAGCTTGTACTGTAATGCCCAGAACTGGACACAGTATTCCAGATGAGGTCTCACTAAAACAGAATTGAGTGGCATTAATGCTTCCCTTGGTCTGGACCCTATATTTCTGTTAATGTAGCCTAGCATTGCATTGGCTTTTTTTACTGCAGGAGGTGTGGTTCTGGAGAAGAGTGTTAGTGAATCTCCACCATTTTTCATATATATTTTAGCCATGTGGAGTTCCCTATGACCCCAGCCTGACCCTTGGGAGATGGCAGCCATAATCCCCTAGATGTGAGGTCAGGTAAGCAAGCTAAGATTGCTTAATAATAATAATAATAAATAACAATAATAATAATAATAATAATAATAATAATAATAATAATAATAATAATAATAATAATAATAATAAAATTTATTTTTACCCCGCCCAATGGAAGCTTAAGACCACTAGACATTTCCTGGACAGGCAGGTTTGGGGAGTTGCCCTGGGAATATCCCATTATGTTGGAAAAGATACCTAATAGTGTTTGTTTGTCTCAGTCTCACACTTAATGAGACCATGATTAGATTTGATTGGACCCCTTTTCTCTTGCTTCCTTTCCTTGATAGTTTTGAAACCAAATGCATTGTTTAGACTATGCCCAGGCTTAAGTAAACAATAGTAAACCAATCAAGCCTTTGCCCACCTATTGTTTAACTCATGGCTAGAAGGCAGAAATCGCCCTTAAAACCCCCTGGATTTTAGCAGACCTCGTGCTACCTTGGAAGTGCTTGCTGAATCTCTGTCGATCTGTGCTCTGAGATAGTTCCCGCGACTCCCCCTCTCTTGTCGGTTGTGCCCCTTCCACTGAACTCATCCTCATTCGCCGCCAGAAGCCCAGAGAAGTCTCTTGGGTGTGAGTATATCTCCCTCTCTCCTGGTTTTCCTCTTGCCTCCCCCGCTCTTGCTCTTCCCTGTTCATTCTTCTAGTGTGTGTGTGTGCTGCATTTGGATGCTTGCCTATTTTGTCAAATAAATATTTCAGACTTAAATTGGATTTTGGTCCATTTCAGCGTCATTCCTAGCCAGAATTCTTACGTCTCCCATAGACAATTGGATAAGATCTTAGAAGCGAAGTTGGGCGCTTCCCTCTCATTTGAGGTAATTATAAATTCTCCAAAATTAGGTCTTGGTTTCCCAAAAAGAGTGCTAAGGATAGTCAAACAAATGGGTCCTAGAACAGATCAAGTCTGAAATCTCCCTGGAAGTCAAGATGATAAAGCTGAGGTTGTCTTTGGTCATGTCATGAGAAGGAATGCCTAATTGAAAAAGACAATAAAGGTGGAGGGATGTAGAAAGAGAGGAAGACTGCATGCTAAATGGATGGGTTCTGTTACAGAGGTCATGGGTATAAATTTATAGGACCTGAGCAGAGCAATGGAAGATAAGGAGTCCTGGAGATATCTCATCCACAGGACTATCATGAGCCAGGCTCAACTAGAGGGCAGTTAACAACAACACTGTTACACAAATCACACTGTTGTGTCATGTTTATCTTGTGGTCTATTGAGACTCCTAGATCCTTTTTGCACATGCTGCTTTCAAGCCAGGTGTCACCCAATCTATATTTGTACCTTTGATTTTTTTCTTGTCAAGATGCAGTGCCTTACATTTATCCTTGTTGAAATTCATTTTGTTAGTTTTGTCCTAGTTCTCCAATCTGTCTAGGTCATTTTGAATCCTTATCCTGTTCTCTGGGGTATTAGCAACCCCCTTCCCCTATTCTGCAAATTTAGTAATGCTTTCTGTTCCATCATCTAGTCATGACAATGACTTACATCATCTTCCATTGGTCCATCAACCAATTACAGATTCACCTAACTGTAACGGTGTCTAGCTTACAGTTCATCAGTTTGCTTGAAAGAATAGTCATGCTTCATGCTAACATCTGGGGATGAGGAAGGAATAGTTTAGGGCCAAGTCTCTTCACTGATCTGAAATATCAAGATTCAAGTTCTGAGTTCCTCTGTCCAGAAATTCCCCTAAAGTAAGAACCTCTTGTTGAGAGAATCTGAGAAAGGACCTGGAGGTATGCTTGCCCATTCTCATCCTGTTATGATCTTTAGAGGTTTATCAAGCATTGGCAGAGCTTCAAGTATCTAAACATGTTAGAGGAGATAGTAGCCTCTTCTCAAAAAGTGTGTTGCATGCTCATGCATGCTTTTCAAACTGTCTTCCTAAGAATGAGAAGATGAGTAATGGTGACAGTGGTAGCTTCCATGTCAGTGGGGCTGGGAATTCACTATGGGTTTCAGTCTGAACTGTAAAGGAGTTTGCCAAGGTGTTGGACCTGTTTTGAGGGATAAAATCCAGAACTGTGTATGTTCCATTTGTGTGGTATAATAACAGACTTAATATGCCTGCCTGGTTAATATCCCATGTAAAGTGAGAACAGGCCTGGAATACACCCCAGATTCTGCTGTGACACACAGGGATCTCTCAGCAAATATATCAACATGGAAAAGTTTCTTCAAAGGAAGAACACACATGAATATATACACAGAAATAATGCAGTTTGACACTACTTTAACTGCCATGGCTCAGTGCTATGGAATGATTGTTAGGATATGGATGGGATATACAGTCAAAGGTGAAATGTAAAGATGTGTGTGTGTGTCTGTAATTTTCCACTTAAGAACAGTTTTTGGACAAGGCACAAACAACATTTAGAAAAACAGGGTGAATCAACGCCAGGTGGTAACAGAGACATCAACAATGTATTTTCCCAGAGGTAGAACTAATGGACACAAACTTTATTATGAGAAAGTCTTGATAACAATACATAAACATCGTTAGAC